CAACTCTTGTATTCCCCATTAATTGTCAACTAGCTTAAGCTGCCATATTGGTAGCAAAATACTGGTTTAATAACTTGAATATAGATTTTTTTTTAAAGTAAACTATCAATTGGTCCCATAGTTTATTTATAATTAAAAGCCCTGCGAGATACATCTGGAAATCTGGCCACAAGATATCATCCCTTGAAAACACGCTATCATTAGCTCCCCCAAATAAATGATTGCTTTTCACACTCATATTCAAGGTGTTTCTTGTTAATGAGAATAATATAATGTAATTTTGTTAAATTATAAAAGCCTCGGCAATCTCTGAGTTTTGGTGAACATTTCTGAGAATGCCCCAAAGGCAGCTAGGAAGTTGGGCGAACTGGGCCGAGAGTTTAATGTTTAATTCATGGTTTATGAACATGTTTAATCAATATTTAGCCGTGCTGTATTCAAGCAGTTATTGCTCTTAATGGATTTGTTTGCAAATTGCCGAATAATTGTTGACAGCATATCCCAATCACTTGCCTTAGTGACACTCTTCTTTGTCTTGGCTTCAAGGCATGACCCGAAAACACAAAAACCATTTTGCGCCTGACAAATCAATGCCGAATACTAAACGATTTGCTTATGATTTTCGTTGAATGCATATATATATATATATATGTGTGTGTGTGTGGGTCTACGTATGTGTGTACGTGTATATATTTTTAGCCATTTTGCCGCAGCGTTAAGTGTGCCGCAGCAGCATTTTAGACGCACAAAGAGGATGACTTGTTTATGGCAAGGCAGAGCCACGCCTTTTGGCACATATGTTTAGTCGACTGCCTACCCATAAGCATAAATACATATGGTTTTATATTGTGTATATAAGTATGTATGTATGTATATGTATGCATGTGTGAGCACTTAGTTTGTTTCATTTTGTCGACGTTGCCGGTGCCGCCTTTGATGAGCGATTTTTCACGAGGCCGCTGCTGAAAATTTTCATTTCTCATTTTTCTTGCTTCGCTGCTTCGCTGCTGCGTCCGCCAAACAATGTCAGTTTAAAACTATGAGCACATTTTTCAATTTGGGTTACCAGAGCGGCAGACGATGGATGGTAGTGGCGGTGGCGGTGGCTTCTTCAAGTTTTATTTTTTTTTTTACACAGCGCCCTTCATGGAGATGGTTCGGTGCTTGTTAGCCGCCTTCCTTCCGACGTTTCCTTCCCCCGAGCTTCCGCAGCAGATGCTGTCTACTTGTGTTTAGCCTTTCTGAACCGCCAGCTGCCAACCGCCATTTCCACTAGTTCCTGCCATCTTCAGTTTGAAGCGCATTTATTTTTCAATTTGTGTGCGTGCGCCCCGATTACTGACCCCCAAGGCCTGGACTCCTTTCCGACAGATTTATCTGCTGGCCTTTCACCGTCAACATCAGGTTTAGCATACGTCAGCAACTACAGTTTACTGACTGATGTCCAGTGAGCTGTTGCCTTAAGTCTCTTCTCTTCAGTGCTTGTTTGTTGTAGATGATTTTAGGTTGCTCTGTCATTTCTTGTATTAGTTGCACAAGTTACTGCCAAGTTTCTGTTCCTTAGCTTGCTTATACGTGGGCTAATATTTCCATGCCGACCTAGGTACGGGCACGTATTTGATAGCACAGCATAAAGGTTTAAATGATAAACATGATTTTCTTTTTTTTTCAGCCTAAAAATAAATATTCCCACTACTTATATAGCTGGTGCAATTATAAAACCTTAAATTCTTAAATAAAGTATATATAATTGGTCCTAAACACTCAAAAAGACATCGTTCTTTGAGGGTCCCCCAATATATTTGTATTCTTAAATTATTATTAATTATTTATTTTGAAGAAAAAAGTACCAATACTGTATATTTTTGGCAAATATTTGATGAAATTGGTTTTAATTGGTTTTTTGCCATTCATTTCCTTTTATATATGTATATTTAATTTCTATTAATATTAACAAAATCTTGGTATATACAAGAAAAGAACCTTAGAAAAGAACTACATACTAAGGATTCCCACACGACACGAACGAAAAGGTCTACCGCACGCAAGAGACAATGCTATCAGTATTTACAGATGGTCCCAATAAATCGAAGAAGGCAAATACTCCCCGAAACTGGGGACAGTCTGTCTTTCCATGTCTCAGATCACTGCCATGCGATAATTACAGCGATGCAGCAGGCCTTGGGCAGCTGAGCTGCGCTTAAGGCACTTGATTCTTGATTGACTTATAGATAACTCCAGAATCAACACTAACTGCGATATAAATACACTACCACTACCTGCATAGGTTCCTATTCTACCTAATTGGAAGTATAAAAGAGTGCAAGCTGTAAAGTTCTAGCGTTCAAATTGTCATTGAAACTATGTACAGTACTTGTATGTTTAACAAATTGTGTACAGAATAACTTGAGTTTAAATCACACGATCAACGTAAGTTTTAGCTAGTTAGTTAGAGCTTTTGTTTTTCATAAAAAAAACCAATTCCATGCTGAGCTCTTGTGTATAATTTGTGTACTAAGTGCAACGTTTACTAAGCCTTTTCAGTTTGTTTCCTCTGTTTTCATGCAAAAGGTCCAAAGGTTTCTTAGGCAGTGGCTGCAAAGTTTTATGAAAGTCGAAGGGTTCGAAGGGTTTGTTCAGAAGTGGATGAAGCGTCTTAAAGAGTCAAAACCTAAGCTTAACGAAAAACTACTTTTCCATTAAATTTGGCGATTTTGAAAGTCGCTTTCAATCAAATACGCTGAGAATTTGGTGAAAAGCATGCCTCGCAAATGCCAAGCGATTTCTTCTGTGGGGTGACGACTCAATAATAATGTGATTGCTTAAAGCACAATTTTAAAGACTATGTGTACAAGTTTGCTTAAAATAACTTTATTTTAAATTGTACCAAAAAAAAAAAAAAAAAAAAAAAAATAGATGTTTACAACTGTCATATGTAAAATATTTACGATGTGCATAAATGTTGGTTTTACCAAATGTATTTTATTTCATCGAACATAAGTGCAATATTTATTTACTGATAATGATTGTATTTAAATGAACTATGTATGTACATATATGTTCAAAAAATAGTTTGCTTAACTTGGAGAGTACTTATATCGTAACAAACACACGACCCAGTGCAGAAGTCAACTCACGACCACTAAGTCAGCTACTTACTCACATACTTACTCTTTCGACAGTAACAAATCAATTTCTTTCATGTTCAACTCAAAGTGTTCCTATCTCAAAAAATCTATTCACTGTGATATAAGCCTTAAGGTTTTACAATGTGTGAAAGACAAAGGCATAGAAACACAAGGAACAGTTACAAAAGCACGGTTTCTTCATTCTCTCACTTGAAACAGACTTACTCTCGCGAGCGAATGGCTCAAGTAACGAGCTAAAGCGAGATCAGGGAGTCAGCTGACAGGGTTGGCAGAAATTAGACGAAAATTAGATGAAATCATGTCGAATTAATAATTTAAAAAACAGTAATAATTAATAGCTATTTAAAGCTATTTGCCTTTGTGTTATATTGAAAAGTGTCTTTATAAGCATTTTGTCAACAGCTATTATTCAGTTAAATTATTCATCAATTTAAAATCATCGAAAGCACTGCCTCTTGTTAGATTTCGCAATAAATTTTAAATGCTTACTTACTTATTATTCAATAGTATGGGCCTTAACATTATACAAACAACATCATAAGCGTATAACTTATTCATAAATTTTGACTATGTTTGAAATAGTCTTCTTTGTAAACGCGATTAATGATAGCTTTAATCAGACTTCAGTAGAATGTTTTAATATACATAGTTATATACATAAATCTAAAAACGAACAAAGGCAAAGAAATATAGCAACAAATGTTCGTCGTCAATTCGAGGAAGAACCACCATTTAGGGTTTAATTTTTTTTTTTGAGTTTGGAAACATATAAAATGCTGCAATCTTTTCATAGTTAAAATGCATTTAGATATTGAATGCACGTAATTCCAATTACTATCGCCTGTAACCGCTGAACATTGTACTATTCAGGCTGCACATAAATAATTCAAATTTTACTTCAATTATCAAACCAGGGCAGCATACATATAAAATGGACTATAAACGAGTTTAATAATTAAATTCGAAACACTTAAAAATCAATAGATTATTTTCAATTTCAGTGAATGCAATGCACACACACACTCAAGTATACTATGTACCAATTTATACAGCATACGGATAAACTACAGTATATATATATATGTGTATGTGTGTGTGTGTGTGTGAACACGAGTGCACACTCATTTGGCTCCAGGCTGCGAGCGGGCGTCGTGCCATAAATTTACTTTTGAATTTCCAATGGCGCGTCGAGCAGGACCGCCAGGCTTTCTCGTTTTCCACACACGTACATATATAGACATATATATATACACACACACACACGTGAGTGAAGGTGTTTTAATTAGAACACCCGGCCAACAGACAGAAATACACATTTATTAGTTATATAGTTAGTGTGCGTTTATTTCAATTTAAAATTCATTTGAGGCCAACAGACATAAATATTCATAGCTTATCATCAGAACCTAAAACCCAAAAGTCACTCAAAACTTAATTTTCTATCTCTTTTTTCTTCTTACTATTTGGCAGCTGCGCGTAGTTGTGATGAAGTCATGTGAAAATAATAACAGGTACAACAACAACAACAACAGCAACAACAACTACAACAGGGACAACGACAACAGCACTGGCCAAGTTAACACGCTTATAGGCAAAAGTTAATTAATGTTGTTGCGCCATTTACGAAACAGCAGCAGCATCCACAGGAACAAGAAACACGACAACGACATTCAAACAAAACAAAAATTGCAATAAAAGTTTAAACAAAAGTAATTAAAAGCCAAAAAGGCAGCCCGAGCTGGAGACGCAGTTGCAGTTGCCATTGTGGGCCAAATAAAATTTACAGCGACCGTAACACACAACTTCATTTGCCGCTATGCGACAACGTTGCTGAGAGCGACAGGGATTGGGAACTGGAGGGCTAGAGAGCTGGAGCTGGAACTGGAACTGGAGCTGGAGCTGTTAAGGAGTGTCGAAGCTCGTGCCCAACCACCCACCAAGTTTGTGCATGGCCAGTCGTCAGCAGCTGCTGCTGCCTGCCACAAACAGCTAACCAACGGGGTCTAATCGGACTGGGACTGGGTCTGGGACTGGGAGGAGGACGAGGGCGAGGGTGGTGACGAAAACGACAACGACGACAACGACGACGACGACGACAACGGCCACAAAATGCAGAAGGAAAACAATGTGACGGCAGAGAATTGCCAATTTGTGGGTCCCTATCGCCTGGAGAAAACCCTGGGCAAGGGTCAAACGGGTAAGTTGAATCATTCATTCAATAGCAATTGCAAATCATGTAAGCTCATTCCTCCTTCGTCCTGCGTCCTGCGTCCTCCCATACTCGCAGGTCTTGTGAAGCTTGGCGTGCATTGTGTGATTGGCAAGAAGGTGGCCATTAAAATAATCAATCGTGAGAAACTCAGCGAATCGGTGCTAATGAAGGTGAGTAGTCTTGTGGGTGCCACCCATCCATCCATTCAGCCATCCATCCATCCAGCCATCCAGCCAGCAATTGTGTTCAAGATTGTTTTGCTCCTACAAGTACTTTGTTGTTCTTTTGTCGTCTTGGCTTATGACTTGGCAAAAGTTTTGCCCTTTATTGTCTTGATGTTGTCGTTGTTGTTTTCGTTCGCAAATTGTTTTTGGGTCGGATGGTGCAAATTGTGACAATAAAATTTGTATTTGTATGAGTGTACGTGGGTGTAGGTGTATGGAAACAAACTACATAGTAGACGACAGTTGAGTGTTGACGATGAAAGACAAAACGTTGAATTTTTCGTCGCAGCTAAAGTTTTGAATATGTTTTTCTCTAGCAAACAACAATTTGCTCCTTGTGATTGAAAATTGACATGCACTAAAGGATGAGTAGAAGAAGCATCGAAACACCAAAAACTTCCACAATGATGTGCAGTGATAAGTCTGTTGAGAATCAAAATGATGGCTACCCTTTTTGGCATTTAAGTCACTCCAAGCATTAAGAGTAGAAAAGCTAAATATTCGAAGGACTAGGGTAAATAAAAAGATTTAATTTAACTGGATTAAAGGACACCTTGTGATAAACGAAAAGAGAAATTGAGGATATAAGTATCTAGAGACATGCTGCCATAAAGCGAGAGAAAGAATCTTAATTTAAAATTCTTTGATTTAAGATTAAACAAGTTTAGAAACAAGTTTAGTTCTTCTCCACACCTCACTAAGGCATCATAATACCTTAAGAGCCTCTGAAAGTAAGATAGCAAGGATTGATAAGTTAGGACACGAAATTATCTGCACAATGTTCAAAATTGTGAATAGAAGTAATACGGCAGATATATAGTGAGGAGATTCCACAAAATAATCTGACTTTAGAACTCTACAAAAAATATAAAATGATTTTTGAAAAATTGATTAGGATCAGATCAAATAGGATCAGATCTTAGCACCAAAAAAGTTTCTGAAAGTATGATAATTTTGTATCACGTAACTGATAACAGATAAAGAGTAATTATTATTATAGATATACAAGTACAAGTATGTCGACGATATTCCACAAAATATTCTGAAAACTGATATATAAGGGAATGCGAATTTTGAAATCACGGGGAGGATTGTTGCTATAAGGCTTGATAAGGAATTTTGGAATTCTACAGAAAATAACGAAAAATACTTAGTTTAATCTTTTAAAGCTTCATTTATAAGGTTTTAAAACTCAGAAAAATAGTATAACAATTAATTTTTCGTTTAGTTTGTATGTAAATCATGCCTAAGTGGTTATTTGCCAAAACAATTTTTACTTTTCATTAATTACCAATACAAAAAGCAGTGTTTGTGTTTTATGTTAAAAACAGCTAGTGGAAAAAATAAATTATAATTTAAAGATCTTCCAAAATTAAACAAAAAAGTGTTATCTAAATTATATTATTAATTAAGTCCTTATAATTTATAATTTCTACCTTAACGTTTTTCTTGGCAGTAACAAGATACACAACTAACTTTTTCCTGAATGTAAGTGAGCATAGATATTTAATAATTATATATATATAATTATAATAACAGATATATAATAATATTATATTAATATAAATATTATTGATACAAATCATTATTATTTTATCATTAATATAAAAGGCAAAATGCCAATTTAGTTATGGGATTATCAGATTATAGAAAATGCAAATGTTTCGTGCGCATTATGGCTGAAAATCAATTTTACTAATGCCAGACATGTTATGGAGGGCCATTGACCGATAAATCTCTCGAAGAATCTGGCGGATCTGTTTCCTACAAGTAATTAAGCTTTTGAGTTGTAACGATATTGTAGCATTTTTTAATTGTTTCAGCGCTTTGTAGCACATGAAAGCAGTTTAAGGGGGAAAATAAATGAAAATGTAGTATCCACTGACAATGAGCGAGTAGAGCAGGCTGGCGCCGACATAGTCGTATTTAGGCCAAAACGAGTGCAAGGTGAAAGAGTCTATAAATAGCTGGCAGCGATTGCGTGTCCAAATAGCCGAGCATGAACACGCAAAGACATTGGCGGCGCCGTTGAGTGTCAATGGAGCTCGCCGCAGGACAATGGGCCATTTACATTTTCCAAACATAAAGGCAGCTTGGCGCTGAATGCTCTCTACACATGCATTGTGTCCGGCAAATATATGACGTGATGTTATCGAGCTGTGGCTCCTTTGGCCGTGGCGAGCCTGTGCCCAAGCAATAACAACAACAACAACAACAACGGCAAGTCGTCAAAGGCATGTGCCAGGAGCAGCGTCCACGGCAACATTGTCAATAATTGCTAGCAAATAGTGTTAATGACAATTACGGCGCAGCCTTTGTGTCCTGGCCGTGCCGCAATTGTCATTATCGTGGTTGTCTGCTGATGCCATCTGCAATATGTGAAAATTGTCTCCTGTTTGCAGCTGTGCGTAAACCCATCTAGTTATGCATTTATTGGTTTGAAGTTAAACTACAAGTGTCTGTTGCCGTTTCTGCTCTGCTTTGTCATTTCAAGGTTGAACGTGAAATTGCTATAATGAAACTAATCGATCATCCGCACGTGCTCGGCCTCAGCGATGTGTACGAGAATAAGAAATATTTGTATTTAATTCTGGAACACGTCTCTGGTGGCGAACTCTTCGACTACCTGGTGAAGAAGGGGCGGCTGACGCCGAAGGAGGCGCGCAAATTCTTCAGGCAAATAATATCTGCGCTCGATTTTTGCCATTCTCACTCCATATGGTAGGCTATGGTTCTCGTTTAAATATTGAATTGCAATAAATCTAAATCCTTATCTTGCAGTCATCGTGACTTGAAGCCGGAAAATCTGCTGCTGGATGAAAAGAATAACATTAAGATAGCGGACTTTGGCATGGCCTCGCTGCAGCCCGCTGGGAGCATGCTGGAAACCTCATGCGGTTCGCCGCACTATGCCTGTCCAGAGGTCATAAGGGTAAGTTAAATCTCTAGGCGGGAGGTACTAACTGATGCGGATGACGGCGTGAAAAATGCTTTTCCAATTGGCTCATACACTAGGCGAATAAATAAAATCGTACTAAGGCAAAATATTTAAGTCACTTTACAAGATGTTTATATTGCAGTATAATACGTTTTCCTACTTGGATATCTCTAGAAATGGTGACATAAGATGTGTTATACATGAAATTTGAAAATACATAGAAAGTTATTTAAAAAGAACTAAATATAATATTAGTATATGGGTCGTATGAGTGATATTTATGGGCAACTAAAGCTTCACTGGCACAGACTAAGCAAACGAAATTCTTCACTCCTTCTATTGTTATAGAAATTTAGAAATCAATAGAGGTACCTAACAAATCATTTAATAAATAATTTGGTATATTTGGTGTTAAACTTCTTTACTACTTGTAAATACGCAAAATTTCCGCCTGCGTACGATTTGATTGATGGGAACGAATCGTTTTCATTTCCATTTAATCCTTATCAAGTTGCTTTTTCAATATACTACTTATATATAGTATGTACTACTGAATTATTGGGGCACAAACCGTGAAAGAACGGTTTGAGGGATGTCGAGTACGCCACGACTAATTCTTCACATTTTTAAAAAATTTAAAGTGTTCTTTCTACATTTATAATGAATGCGGTTTTTAAGATAGGGCTATAGGGTTAAGATCATAGATAAGGCAGTTCAATAGTAGTCCACAAATAATTCTTCACATTCTTAGAAAATTAACAGTATTCTTCCTCGCTTTTAAGATAGGGTTAACATCATAGATAAGGCAGTTCAATAGTAGTCCACAAACAATTCTTCAAATTTTTGGAAAATTAAGAGTATTCTTCCTCGCTTTTAAGATAGGGTTAACATCATAGATAAGGCAGTTCAATAGTAGTCCACAAACAATTCTTCAAATTTTTGGAAAATTAAGAGTATTCTTCCTGGCCTTTAAGATAGGGCTATGGGATGAAGGTAATAGGGTAAGGCAGTTCATAATATTCAACATGTTGTAAATATTAAAAGTTTGTTTCATTATATTGGGTTCTTTTGTATACATCGTTTCTCTAGATGGTAGCCAAGAATGTAATTTTATTTCGACATTTGATAAAGAATAACAAAAATTTATTTAACACAAGTAGTGAAAGGGCGACACATACTCGTACAATGTATACTTTTAAAATACATAGAATGAATGCTAGAAAATCTGTGAAATGGAACTTTATTGACTCTGTAGCTTAATTCAACTTTTCTGGGAGTGTAGTGATACTGCCTGCCGGTAAATGGAGATATGTTATCGACATTTTTTTTTTACTTGAATACTTTTACGCATAAATGTCAATCAAGACAAACTTTTTGCACATTTTCGCATGCTGGTTGCTGATATGAACGGGAAGGCGGATGCTCCATGCAGTGTCTGTGGTGTGGTCTGCGGCTGCTGTGGCCTGTCCTGTCCACCTCCCTACCTCGCCACCTACAGTTCCTATGCTAATGTGGAAAAGTTACTGCCACTTCCGTTGTTTTTGTTGTTGGTTATAGTACGTATGCAAATGCGTAATGCCTTACAGGGAACGTCAGCATCGTTGTCATGTGCGCATATGATTTGCCAACTGAGGCAGATATACCTACATTTCTATGCATGTGAAGACCCCCTGCTGGCTGACATAGCTGGTTATTTGGCAATGCTTGCCAGCCACAGGAATAGCAGCAACAACAACAACAACAACAATAGCAACATGCAGCATGTTGCATGCCTCATTGCACCCACGCAGTAGCCCGCAGTAGCACGCAAAGTTGAGCCGAGCTGAGCTGCACTGAGCTGCGTGTAATAAATTCATAAGCGGAATTTTAAAATACATACTCGTATCTTCCTTTAGTTATAAATCCATGCGATGCCAGGACGTGCCATACAGCGACGTGATATTTGCTACCATAGATACATTTATAAATATTCAACAGAGGAAATTTTGCTTGGATTTATCTCTCTGCCATGTCCCTTAATTGATGTGGTTGGTTGGCCTGTTCTCTGTGTGTGAGTTACGCATAGAAAGTTTTATTTCCACCTGAGCTAGGACAAAAAGTTAACTTTAACTTAAAGTTAGAGTACTTTGATTCTCATGTAAATAACGAAACTTTGTCCTGTCAGCAATTCTTTATAGTTCCGATTGATTTATATTAATAGAGTGCAACTATTGACATTTCCATTATTATCAGAGAAAGGATGGCAAATACAAGAAATTATTGTCCATAATTTTCATACAAGACCAGGCATTAAACATAATCGTTTTAATGTCAGATAAATAACAATTCAGCAATGCTTTGCTTTATATTAATAGAGTGCAACTATTGATATTCCATTATTATCAGAGAAAGGATGCCAAATACAAGAAATTATTGTCCATAATTTTCATACAAGACCAGGCATTAAACATAATAAAATAGTACCTTTTGGTGAAACAATTCTTCAGCAATTCTTTGCTTTATATTAATAGAGTGCAACTATTGATATTCCATTATTATCTGAGAAAGGATGGCAAATACAAGCAATTATTATCCATAATTTTCATACAAGACCAGACATGTAACATAATCATTTTAATGTCAGATAAATACAAATTAAGTACCTTTTGGTGAAACGATTCTTCAGCAATTCTTTGCTTTATACTGATATTCCATTATTCAAAAAGAAAGGATTCCAAATACAAGCAACTATTATCCATAATTTCAATACAATACCAGACATTAAACAGAATCGTTTTAATGTCAGATAAATAAATAATACCTTGTGGTGAAACAATAAAATAGATAACAATTATTTTGTATTCAGAGTGGTCTAAATATAATTGCCCTTAGCAGTTAAATATATAGTTTGTTTGGTCTAGCAACTCATTCAGAATAACATATCAATTGTTCGCTTTAATGGCCTGGCTGTACTTGCAGTCATTGTGCCATTTACGTGCCCAAGTCAATAACCGCCATCGTTGACGGCATCAGACAGACACGTCAATGGACAGGCAAGTGCGTCAGAGTGTGTGGTTTTCAGTCGTCGAAGCCGCCATTTGACATTCGAAGTCGAGCCGGTCAGTTGTCGGCTGAATGGGTTGAATGACTGGCAGGCTGACTTAAGTAAAAAGTATATAAATTATGAACGATTGGAGGAGAAAGCAGCGCAAGGCGTAATTGTCAAGGAGTTGAAAACGATTTCTTCAATACCCGTATAGCCAATTATCCTAATCGAATTCCCCAACGGGTTCGAGAAGCAGAAATGGCAAAAAATACAACGCGCAAAAGAATCTAAGGCAAATGGCAATCATAAAAGTAAACCAAAAAGGGAAATAACCAACCAACTAGCAAAACAACAATAAAGAAAACGTCTCAATTTCTGATTTTCTTCTTTCGCTCCTTTTTCGTGCCTAGGGTGAGAAGTACGATGGACGTAAGGCGGATGTCTGGTCATGTGGTGTCATTCTCTACGCGCTGCTGGTGGGTGCGTTGCCCTTCGACGACGACAACTTGCGGCAGTTGCTGGAGAAAGTGAAGCGCGGCGTCTTTCACATTCCGCACTTTGTGCCGCCCGACTGCCAGAGCTTGCTGCGCGGCATGATTGAAGTGAATCCGGACAGGCGTCTGACGGTGAGTCATCAATGCAGCGCACAGTGGTTCGGAATCAAGCAAACATAACATACAATCATTTACAAGTTTTCAGGTAGAAAATACAGCTAATTCTGTTTTTACACGGTCTTTTTTACACGATTTTGATAAGCCACGGTTTGAAAATTCAAAATTTCATATATATTTTTTTAGAGATAAGGAATCAATCACCTATTTCTGCATATGATGAACGTCTTTTTGTACACGGTTGTTTCTGGAACCAATCTACCGTGTAAAAACAGAATTAGGTGTATAATATAGCCTATGTAAGCTGGGGATAGTGTAGCTTCCCAACCGTGAAAGAATCCTTTGAATCGGTCCAGTAGTTACGGAGCCTATTCAATTCAAATGAACAAATCAAATCCTTGCTCTTTATAATATTAGTATTAATCAATTGTGTCTCTGGGTTGAACTGCTTTGTTTGTTTCTAAAGCTCACCTCTTTCGAATTAGAGCTACAAAACTATGAATAGATCATATTTGAACCATCGGTATTATCGATAATATTACAAAAATTGCACAATCAACAGTCGCTAAATCCTTTGCTAGTCACTGTAAAATAGGCTTATTGGCTTTATGGATTGGTAGTTTTACAGCTCAATGAAGAAATGCTGTTAGCTTTTCATTTCTTGAAAGTAAGAAAATATATTCTTGTAGCGCATAGAAGGAAATATTCGAAAAATATACAAATTCAAACAAATAAGTATTGTCAACTATCGTGTATATAAAAAACAGAATGTCTCTGAAATATTTAAAATGGTTTCAAATTTGCTCTATCAAAATACCCATAACAGAAAGAATCATTCGCATAACAAAAAAAAAGTTACTTAAAACTTACAAGTTAACTTTTAAATCAAAAAATATGTATCCTGGTTGCTTTTAAAACGGAAAAAAGTCAGTGTAAAACACATTTTCTTTTTGCTTTGCTTTAGTTGAACTTATATATAGGTCTATGGTAGCACTATTTTTAGTGGGAAAGTTGATTTTCAACGTAGTCCGGGTTCTAAAGTGAGGGTAAAATAAAATCGATTCGAATGCCCATATTACAAATTTAATATTAGTAGTCTTTTAACTAGCTTAAATTTCCATATTGGTAGCAGAATAGTAGTTTAATAAATTGTATATTGTACATTAAAAAAAATGTTATTAGTATTAGGGCTAACACAAATACAATGTTTTCTACTGATCTATATTTTATAAAATAAAATACTTCTCATATACAATTAAATAGTGTAGTCCGTAAATTGTTTATAGTACGTGCCTGGCCACATAAAAAAAACACATATTGTACAGAATCAGGACGCTTCCTGGTGTAAGGTGGAGAAGCTTTTTAATGGGAACAAAAGTTAATTGAATTTTTGCAAAATCGAGCAAAAATAGCCGAGATGTGTGCTACAATTCTGCTTTTTTTTTAATGTAGTTTATACAATTTATTAATCTACACTGATAAAAAAAACCACGGAAATTTCAATATTTACACGTAGATTTAACTATTTTTACCATCAATTTTGCACCATTATATGTTTTAGTAAATATGAAGTGTGTACACTTAAATTTGAAATTTAATAATAATATATTAAATTTAATATTAATATATTAAATTTAAAGTTTGACGATATTAAATCCCAAGTGACGATGTGGACGCGTGGGCTTGATTCACGCCAAAGGTTTATTTTTTATAATTATAAAATATTTTTTCCACTTTTGGTCTCCTCTACTGGTTTTTTTGAACTCTTTTCAATATTGACATTTCCATGATGCATATTTTATTTCTATATATATATATATATATATATATATATATATATATTTTTTTTTTCTTTCTATAGAACCCTTTAAAGCAGAAAGTAATTTCAAAATTCTTTTGTTATTATGAATTAATTACCTTGATGTTTCTTTATGCCTTTTAGTACGGATATGTGCATATTAATATTTAATATGGTTCAAGATTAAATTCAATATGACACACTTTAATACCGAAGTTTTAGTCTTTGTTTTGAATATTATCCATATTAAAATCACTAAATATGTTTTTAGTAAAATTTACGATGTTTATATTTGATTTGAATATGAAATAGTAGAACATTAAATTTAATATGAAAATATTCATCTGTACTATGCAACTTTTTTATCAGTGTAGTAATCTGCTACAATTTTTTGCAACAAAGAGAAAAGTAAATCGTAAATAAATATTCTCGTAAGGGTAGTTTTAAGAATTCATTTACAATTAGAAATATATTTAAATTTCGATTGCAATTAGTTTAGTTTTGTGGCACTGTGCATAGTGGAAGCAGTGCACGAAAAAAGCGTGTACAAAGAAACGAACAAACAAACAATTGAATGTTTGTACCGTTAATGATGTGTGTATGTGTGCGTGCGGGGGTGTGCGCTTATGCGGGTGGTTGAGTCACACCAAAATCTAACAACCCTACAGTCGGACCGGTTCTCGTTTTTTGGGTCAACTTGTGTTGTTGTGACAGCCTGTGACGCGCTGACCCCAACCGGCCAGTGGGTTGGAGGTTTGTCCTTGGTGTGGGGCTTGTGTGTTTGCGGGTCCATGCTAACCTTTTGTTTTGTGTCTCTCTGCAGCTGGCCGAAATAAATCGCCACCCTTGGGTAACCGCCGGCGGCAAAGGTGAACTGGAGTTGGAGCTGCCGATGATGGAGGTGGTGCAGACACATGTAATACCCACAGCGACGGCGGTGGATCCGGATGTGTTGAATGCGATTTGCTCGTTGGGCTGCTTCAAAGAGAAGGATAAGCTCATACAGGAACTGTTGAGCTCCAAGTGAGTAGTGGTGGGCGGTGCGGACACTGACGTGTTGCAAATTAGCCAGAATTATGCAAATCATAGAGCGCATTTCAATTGGGCTTACTCAACATGCTGGCTACTCTTTCCACCCCACAGCCACAATACCGAAAAAGTAATTTACTTTCTGCTGCTCGAGCGCAAGCGACGACGGCCAGCACTCGAGGACGATGAGGAGATAGCACAGAAATCGCGCAGTGAGTTGGATGCCGTGGATCCGCCACGTAAGCGACTGGACACTTGCCGTATTAATGGCACTAATGCGCCCAGCTATGGTCAAATTTCGGAAGGATCACCGCTGACGCCGCGACGACAGGCCTTCAAGTGAGTGCTTCCATCATTTGCATGAGGAGGGAGGAATATTAATGGTCTGCTTGACTCTCCACAGCTTCCGTTCTTATAGCAGCACACGCAATCACCAACGACGCTCGCCCACAACGGTTTCTTCGTCTGTGCGCAGCTCATCATATCACAGTCCCACGCGCTGCAACTCGCCCATGAGCTCGGCGCAACAGCAGGCGAACGCCATATCGCGTCCCAGCTCGCCGGCGTCCTCCACACGGCATTCCACGTACGGTGGGGCGGATCGCGAACGCTCAGGCTCCATACACCATCCGTCGGTTAGTCGCACGCCTTCGCATAGCTCGCAGAAGAGCATCGAGGGCGTCAACAGCGATGTGGTGGTGGTGCGGGAGCCGCGTCTGGAGCGCCGTGATTCATCGCGCAATGAGCGTAGCTCAGCCAGGGAGCGGGAACGGGAGCGCGAACGTGAACGTGGGAACTGTGTGCCACCGGGCAGTCCTGGCGGCAACTCCACCGCCTCGCCTTCAGTGCATCATCGTGCCAACTCAGGTCCGACCATTGCCATTAGTATGTTCCACGATCCAGAGTCGAATAGTGGTGTGTGCATGCCCCGTAGCATTTGAGATTGTCCCAAAGCGCTGTCAACGATCGCTCACTCTTCCCATTTTCCTTTCCTCTTGCAGTTGTGAATCCTACCGCCTCGCCGCTGCTGAACAACAGTAATGTTGGTATGCCTGGCTCGCCTTGTAATACGCCGGGCGGACAGCTCTGGAAAACGCGCCTAACGAATATCAAAAACAGTTTTCTTGGAAGTCCACGTTTCCATCGCAGAAAATTACAGGGTGAGCTATTGTTCATACTATCAAGGGCGTAGGCAGGGGGAGCAGGGGGGGGGGGGCCGCATCGTGCATTATTTAATCAAAATGTTAATTTTTTGGCCCCCCCCTTTGGTAAAAGCTGCCTACGCCCTTTCGTACTATATATCTATGTAGAGTGCTAGCGATGTTTTCAGTAGAGAAACAGAACATACAATATTACCCCACTGACACCGAAAGATTTCTATCAAAACTATAATTACATCCGGAGGAATCTCCGAACACTTTGGCTGGCCGAACTGGCAATCAAATTTTCCGCCACCGGGTAGAAGATTTTACTTTTTCTCTTGCTGTTTCTTTCTGCCTTACTTCATCTTAAGTAGAACAAAGTTTTCTCCTCTACTATCTTCTTTTTTTTTAGTGGTGTAGGTCTATAATGTCTCTGACAATGTATGAATCGGGGCATAGCTGGCCAAACGTATCGGAGGCATTAATAGACATTATTGTATAGTTATTTTTGAGGCTTTCTTATTTACTTAAGTTTAAATTATAACTTAATATTAGTAAGCTGTATTGACAGCATTATTTGGTTGATATATATTAAATAAATAAATAAATAAACAGCAAAGATCTTTACGCTTTAAAACGAGAGGCCTATTTTAGATTTCTCTGGCTATTCATTTTTTAGTTGCTTATGTAGCAATACTTATAGTTAGCACGTAAGATCACTGTACAAAGGACACCCTGTATGCTCGCTTTGCAATTGCTCATAACTCGAAAGCAGACTGATAAAATAACGGTTTTTTTGTACGGTATATTTTTGCAACTATTCTTCTCTCTCTCTGACACAAATTGCAAGTTCTGGAAAAGAGCCGTTATTTGGGTTTTCCACTTACTGGAATTTACACTGCATTTTTGCGCCACTTGAATAGGACATGCATTTAGTTTGATCGTAATCTTTGGCACGTGGGCTCATATTTTTCGTTCATCGCACTTCTATTTTAATTTCGACGATTTAATTTCAAAAAAACGTAAAATGGGTCGAGGAAAAGCATTAACCGAGGTTGAAAAGGACAAATCAAAGCTTATAAGCAGCGTAAGAAAATCGAAATGTGACATAAGGGGTATCCTATTCAAGTGGCGGGGGGTGTACATACATACATTTAAGATTAACTGTAAACACGCTCTCGATATGTTTGCGAGAGAGCATAGAATTAGAGAATAAGAACGAATAAAATGATGCTCGAGTCAGTTTCGATTGAGAGCACGTATTTAAATAATAACTACACTTATGTAAAATAAATTAAAATTAAATAATACTAATTAATATCACTAATTACTTGCAGTCTCCGCCGATGAGGTTCACCTTACACCGGAGTCGTCGCCGGAGCTGACAAAGCGTTCGTGGTTTGGCAATTTGATAACCACGGAGAAGGATGAAACCTTTACAATATTGGTGAAGGGCAAGCCCATAGCCACAGTGAAGGCGCATTTAATCCATGCATTTCTATCTGTAAGTCTCGTTCGACCCAAAACCCTCCGAGACACGTCTGTCTAATGCGCATATTTTCCAGATGGCGGAACTATCGCACAGCGTTGTGTCGCCCACCTCGTTTCGCGTGGAGTACAAACGTAATGGCAATGGACCGGTTATGTTCCAGCGACATGTCAAATTTCAGGTAATGCCCCACCTTCTGCTGTGGAATTCGAATGAATTTAGATGAATTCTAAATGTTTTTATAGGTCGATATCAGTGCTATATGCAAACAAGGTGATATTGCGGATATGCTATTCGCTTTAACGTTTACACTGCTATCAGGTTAGTCTCGACACTAAGTTTTGCAGACTAGTGTATCTCACAGAATCGTACGTTTCAGGCAACATCCGCCGTTTTCGTCGCATTTGTGAGCACATACAATCGCAGGTCTGTTCGAAGCGATTCCCCGGACCCAGTAGCCCGCCCACAGTGACGACCGTAACTCAGGCAGTGTCGGAGAGCTCTTCGTGTGGCTCGGTTTCCAGCGAACGATTGTCCTATAAGCGACAGGTGGTGAGTATTTGGAAGGGCAGGATAAATCGGTTGGCAATATTAATGAATGTGCTTGTAGATTGAAAATGATATGGAAAACGATTCCATATTTTCCTATAAATCGGGCAATGGACGTCGTGCCTCAACGACCAATAACAACAACGCCAATCCGGTGGACATACCAGGCAGTCCCATAGCAGTCCGTTCAAAGTAAGTCCTTAGTGAAGAGTGAATAGTGAATAGCTTGGCAATTAACCTTTTCCCCACTCTCCGCCCCCAACCCAGTTCCGAGACTGCTGAGCATGAACGCAATCGCGAACTGCAGAGTGAGCGCCAGGCGACAACGATGTCCGGTAGTGCAATCGCATGAGAATTATTTCTCTGATTTAGTTACATTTTTCTAAAGGATATTTGTTTTGATATTAAACAACAAAAGCTAACGACATATTTCTATTTCAACTAAATAATGCATTGAGCAGCCAACAACTCTCAACAGTATGCATTTTTTCCAATTCAACATTAAAAACTAAACTCCAGAGAGAAAAAAAATACGAAGTACATATGCATAAAAAGCAATAATAGCGGAATTTACTCAAAATACTCAAAGGAACTTTTCAAACTGTACACCAACTAAAGGGAAATCACTCGCTTCATAAGTATTGAACAAAACTATGGCCTGTCAGCTGCTTGAGGAGGCTTGAAAAGATCGATGTGCAGCTTTTATACTACAAATTTTTTTTAGGCTGCATAATTGTTTTCTAACTAAATTAAATACAATAATTTTGATGTATGCTTTTTATTTTTAAATGGACATTGTTGCCGCCGCGCCTGAAAAGCTTGCAATACGAACACCGTGAAAAGAAAATACAAATACTCCTTTAAGGGAGAAAATGTTACAAAATGTTTTTTGCATACGCTCTAGTTTAAGTCGAAAAGTTAGGAATTTTCTTTATCTAGATCTTGCATTAGCTATGCAATACATAAAATGTGCAAAAATTATAAAATACGAGTATATATACAAACAACTTAACGTTGCTGGTTTTCTAAAAATTGATGCAAATATTTTGCTACTTGCTAATTTTGTAATATTGAAAAAAAAAAAACTATGTATTTTTCCTATTTAAACAAAAAAGAAATGTATGACGACAACTAATAAACTTCAGATATGCATGCTTGACGATCAAAAACTGTTGTGTGGCACATGACTTGGTTTAATTCAACGATTGATTAAACAAATGCAATTGTAAAATGTATGTACATAGAGGAAGGCACTTAACTAAAATGCGAATGCAGGTGAAGAATACATTTTGGGAGAAAATATAGTAAAACGCAAAAGCTCTATATTTTGCATGAAACGAACTTTGTCATGTTATACATACATACATACATAGAATTGAGCAAAAGGCTTTATTTTAAACAAATCTGTACGATATGGATAACTATGTATATGCTAGCGTATTATGGGCCATAAATTGTACAAATTGCTGAGTTGCAGGCACGAGCCTCAAAAAAGCACTTGACAAATTGTATTCACTAACTCGTATTTTGTTTAGAGTAGAGCTCACAAACCCACAGACACACACACAGATACACACGCACACACACACACACACACATAGACACAGTTACCATACCTTATAGCCGTGGGGACTTGTAGAGAGTAAGTTGTCCAAAAATGCACAAATAATATGCCCAAGGCAAAGCTTTCTTATAATCAGTGACCGAATCACCCTCAATGCGTGCCCAAAAAGGTTTGCAATTTCTTTTTAAAATTTAATTTAATTGAACGACATTTTTATACGATATTTAGTAACTAAAAGACTAATAAAAACAAAAAACAATTGACATAAAGCAAAGAAAATCCAAACGAACCGTCCATTTTTCCACTTAAACTAAAACGCAGGCAACTCAGCAATTTGTGGCATATCGGGGTGTGTATAGAGAGTGCTTACTTAATATAATATAGCAATGAAATATTCTAAAATACCGTGTATGACAGCAATATCAAAAATATAGCTAAATAGCCACAAACTAGCACGTTACTAACAAATTAAAAACAACAATTATTAGCCACACTAATGCATAAATCGTAGAAAAAACATTAAAGTAAACAACAGAAGAAAAAAAATTAAAAGCAAGAGCAAATTAAATGTAAAAAGTAACAAAAACAAAAAACGAATGTAACAGGCAAAAATTGAATAAAATACTCAGTCAAGTCAACAAACCACATGCAATAATATCGAAATTGAATTACTTTTTAGGCATACTCTACAAAATATACTCACCTACATAAATACATACTATACATATATACATGAATAGCTGCAAATACATACATACATATAATTAGTTATTTATCAATCATAAAAATCATCTAAATGCGCTCGAGAACAAACATACATTCAAAATTAAGCTCACCGAATCGAACAAATGGCATTGCATATATTTATTATACATTGATATACCATATACATACATACGAGTACATACATACATATTTTATACCAAGAGCATTGCGAAATTGACTAATGAAATCTATATACATACATACATACATATATATTGTATATTATGCATTTACTTTCATATACAAATGCCCCACACACATATAAATACATTCATGCCTACATACGACCGAGATATCTATATCTATATACATACATTCCATACATACATACATACATGCATCTATTTACGAATCAAACAAATATTTACAAACCTTTGAATGAGAACCACATAATACTATTGAGAAATGTTACATGCTTTTTAGACATTATATCGGATGAAGACAAAAACAAAAACGTAACCAAACGGAAATTGTTAATTTTGTATTATAACAAACAAAAGACGGATAAGAAGAGGGAGGAGAGGAAGAAACTATTAACGCGTGTACATGCAAATGTAAACTAAACAAAAATTATACATATAAATCATATTTTTGACATGACAAAAGCCATAACTTAATCTTAAGCAAATTATCGCTTAGTATAAAATACCAAAATCTGCATGCTGCATACTAAAAATCGCAAGCGAGCATCGTATAAATGCTATATATAATACACAATATACTATATGTAACATTCTTCACTTTAACTCTAAATGCTGCATAATGCCACGCCTACCTTTTACCTTACATCACACGCCACGCCCACAAACCTGCCTAAACCAACATTCGCGCTAATCTGCCTAGACCAACACTCTTCGAAACATAATCAACTTATCTAACTCATTTGAAATGCTTTTCCCTCAAATATTGTACTACGCTCAGTTCAACACTATTCAACAAGAGTAAGCAAGCAAAACAAAAACTAACCTAATTTGATATGCAACATATACACATTTCTATATACATACACAGCTCTGTATGTACTTATATACTTACGAGAAGCAGGCGCTTGCTTCACATGCAAAAGTTTACATTTATATTTAAAAAAAAAGGAAGAAAAATAAAAACAAAATTGAAATTTATGGAACATCCAATTAGACTGTAATGTTGTGTATTTTGAATTACGCTTTATAACATGTTTTCTTTCAAATATAAGTACTATTTTATGGAAATAATTTATTTCTTCATTTGTTTTGCTTGGGTTCATCGCATTGTACGCTTTGTTTGATATTTGTAATTGAGAAAGCATTGAGTTAAAAATTGTATTGTAATTTAATTGTAAGCTTGGATAAATGTGTCTGGAGTGAAGCTGGCAGTGGAAGCAAAACCAACAAAAACAAAAAAAAGCAACAAACAAAAAAAAATTGCATCTGTTATTAGGTTAAAAGAATTATTGATATTGTTTGCAACAAAATGTGTGAAATATATATAAATATATTGAAATAAGAAATATGAAATTTAGCATAAAAACACAACAAGGTGGAAACAGAAGCGAACAAAAAATTGTATTTGCAATTTAAAAATAAAATCATAAATATTTCAAATAAAACGGAAAAAGGCTTTTTAATTGAATATCCATTGCAGAAGTACATAAATAGTAGTACTTATAATTAAATAAATTACTGCCCTTTTGCCACATGGTAAGCATAACATTTGAAATACATTTGCATATTAAAGGTGTTATATTAAAAGAGCGACTTTAAGCTTAAAATATGAAACCAGTGATAGATATTATAATAGGATCTACCCACCCAACTGACCAATCCAAATTGGCAAGAAAATTATTTCTATTAAAAGATGAGATACTTGTAGTAAGATTCACCCCAGTCTCAGTCGGACTCGAACGAGGGAATGAAGAAGATGCCATTCGCAGTATCCTTTGCATTCCACAATAAGTGAAGTATATAATTTTACACATTACTCTTTTTATCGTTAAAATGTGAATAAATTTGATTTTAAGGAGAACGGGAACCAGTCTGGGCTCTAAAGGGTTAAGGAATCTTATTAGTTATTCATTCGAATTAAGTTTTACATTGCATTGTTATTATATTAATTTTCTTTTTAAAATTTGAGAAAATATGTTTATGGTACTTTCAATTACTAGTATTCGATTATTTAATTTGTACGAAAATATTGAGAAGGAAGTACACACATAACTTCTTGCACCTTTTTTCCATCTTTCAAATTAAGAAATCCTTCGAAAGAATTCACAAAATATAAACCATTTGCCAATTGAATAGGACACTCTTTATGATCGGTTTGCAATTGTTCATAACTCAAACTAAAGTAACTTTTTTTCACGTAATCTTTGTGCAAATATTATTCTAATTATGAACCCGAATTTTGCCGGTTTTTGATTAATAATTTTCTGTCAGAAATTCAAGCTTATGCATTAAATTTTCTTTTTTATTAGATTGCAACAATTAAAGGAGCTTAAATTTTAAAAAATTATGCCCCTATCATGCGTGGTTTGGGAGCAGTGGCTGATAGATAACAGCCTTAAAGGGGTATCTGTATTCAGTATTCAAGTGGCAAGGAGTGTAAGTATTTATGAAGGAAATTGTTTAATATATGCATTTTGCTTTTAAAGATACTTAAAATGATTCGTTTTGATAAGGGTAAGTGTAGCAGAACGTCGCTCTTATTTTGCACACATTAAATTATTACGAGACACATAAATTACGTCATTGCCCGCTATTCGATTGTTAGAAAGAGAGAGAGACAGCAGCACAGCTGTTTCTGACAACTGCATAGAGCGCAAGGGCTAAGAAACAGTGGGAGACAAAGAGAGGTGGTAGAAAACACCGCATGCACTTTTATGCCGCATGTCAGCTGTGAAGCTTTTGGCTAAGCTTGCGAAGAGCTTTTGCGAGAGGACCTCCTCCACCGCCATTTGGCGGTACGCTTTAGTCCGAAAAAGCTGCCGTCGATGCAAGTGCCAGCCAACAAGCAAGCGGCGCACATGCTTACGGTTTCGGTCTGCTGTGTTTTTCTCCGAAAGAAAATGCGTGCCAACTGCATGAAAAGGAAAACTTGGCCATTTCAGTGTTCAGTTCGGGTCGGGCTTGCAATTAAACAGCACAGCGAAAACGGAGCGAAATTTCAACGAAAATTCAAACAAGCAAAGGCAAAATTATAAGCCAGTGGAGTAATATCTACTATATAAAACGTATGGGCAGACAAGAGTAGTGCGCAAGAAAGAAAGAAAGCAGCGAGAATGATTCGCTGCTGGTAACATGGTAACAAAAATATAATATATGAATGCGAGTACAACAAAGTGGTTATACAAATTACAAACGCAACGAGCTGCGGCTGAAGCTGAAATGCCTGAGCTTGAGTGTTGAGCAATGATTGAAAAACGAGGAGCAAATTGAAAACGTGAATAATTAAATGGCTTTTGAATTTTTAACGTCTTTCCATTCCTTTCTTCTTTTTTTTTTTATTTAAATTGTTCGGTAATTTCGGAACTTCATGCAGTTGCATTTTTTTGGTGCAGTGAGTTATATAAAAGCGTGTGATGTTGCAGGGTTATAACGGCAACAATAACAGCAACAACAAAAAACGAAGATGAACAGAGACTTACTTAAAATAATAATAATATTGACATAAAACCGTATTTGAACAAAGATTAACAAAAATGTATTAACTTAAGCCGAGAAATAATATAAAAAAAACTGAACATAACTGGAGTATTTAAGCAATTTCTCGTGTTATTAAAATAAAACGTACAGTTTAAAAATATTAATAAATAACAATTGATAAAAGAAATCGAAAAGTTATTAATTGAAAATGAAATATAATGGCACATAAATAACAATTTTACACAAAACTAAAAATCTTTAATAATTACAACAAATAACTTGAAACGTCTTCTCCTGTATAAGGGTTAGAGAATGAGTAAACGGCGCATTCCGGCCGCCAAAGGGCATTTATCAAATGAAATGAATTATAAAAAACAGCGAACAAATTAAACAAACGCTTATAAAAACACCAAGTGGCATTATAATCAATTTCTTTTGGCTGCTATTTATAGTTGCACTTTTTTTTTATTCAATATTAGTGTCAAGGTGCTGTGTCAGTGCAGTGCTCAAAGCAACAGCAAAGAACAAGGCACGACAAGACAAGACAAGACGGTGGCAGACACGAAATTAGTAAGGTAGCAATCAAAAATATGTAATAACAACAAGAATAACAATAGCAACAATAGCCAAGTAGCAAAGTGCGCCAAGACTTGTCACATTGAGGGAAAGAAATTCAATTTATGCCTTTGGTGCTGCCTCAATGACAATTAAACAGGCATAACGGCGACGGTGAGGGGAGGGAGGGTCTAGGGATTTGGAAAAGTTAGATATGGGCCGGGTTGCGGTGCAAGTCTTAAGTAAATCGTGTTTGCAACAACAGCTAGTGATGGGCCCATGACACAATCGTGCACGTAGAAAATAATTTGATGTGAAGCTGAAACTTTGACTCTGTGTTTTTGATGTGCGTGACAAGTGTTTGCTTCTCGCGGCCATCTCTAGTGTGAGAGCGTGTGGCAAGTATAGGAGCGCGCGCGCACGAGGCTCAACTTACAAGCAGGCAACCCACATTACTTAAATTACGAACTACACGCAAAGGCTGAAAAGCCACGTCTTTCGGTTAGACCTGGCCCTCAGTACGTCAATCAGTTCGTCCGTCACTCAGTCAGTCAGCCAGCCAGCCAGCCATTGAGCCTGCAAGCAAAAGCAGCAAAAGACTTTGTCTGTTTGGACGGGCTTATGAGTCAGCCTGTCGCTTGTCACATTGCGTGACTGTGGTGGGTGGAGCCTATATCCATATACATCTATTCATATATATACATATACAAGTACACACATACACATGTTGCATACTTGGGGGCACCTTAACAGCACCCGTGTCGCGCGCTCGCTGTCTGCTAGACAAAAATTCTCCCCAACATTCCGAATTCCGATGTTTTGGTTCTCAATGTTAGGGCTAGTCGCCGGATCAGGCATTTCTATCGTCGTTTGTAGTTAATAAAATGCTGTATTGAAATTCCAATAAAACGAGCAAAGCGCAAATACAAACTATTAAAATGCAAATGTACAAATAGAATGTGTGTGCCCAGCATACCATTGCATTAAATTTAATTTAGTGTAGCTGGCAAAAACACACACACACACACACCCAGACACAAAACGCCCGCCACCCACTGATGTCTTGTTTCTGTTTTTTTTTTTTGGCCACTTTGCAAGTTTTGCGTTTTTGTTGCGCTTGTTAATTTTGACCACGAGCTATCGAAGAGACATTTTTCGCGTTGTTTTGCTTTGCTCTGCTGCTTCGCATCTAGCTGCTTGGATTTATTTATAAAATTGCATTTGCGATTTGAAGAGCGTGTGAAATTTCTTGTACCCACATATTTGCATACTATACGAATATATATTCGTAGTATGTACATATGTATATTCTATTCAAATTTACATTGTTGTTTCGGCTGTCGGCCCGGCTGATTGAGTGGCTGGGCATGGGTTGCCAACAGAGAAGGGTTTTTCAGCCACGGCCATTCTGGGACCATATTTGTACTAACAAGTTATTTTTTGCTTTCGGCATAGACACACTGCATATAAAAATATATATTAAATGCTCTTTATGACTTTTTTTTTTTTTTAGTTTACTAGCTCATAAATTTCCAAATTGCACTATAAATGCCAGGGGCGTAAAATATTTAGTGAACTGCGAAGTAAATAGCACAGAATTGTAAATGAATTTAAAATACACAGCTACAAGATATTTTTGTTAAATTTAGCGCAATGAGCAAAAATGCAAGAATAAATGAAAATAATTCATTGAGGCAATTTGTAGGAGCATATAGCGTTAAACATATACTATACTCATACATACTTATATGCACGAATAAGCCAATTCATTAATAAGTTGTCTACCTTTAATGTGTTTTGAAAAGGATTCAGATAGAATTTATTAAATCTGCTTTAAGGTCATCTAACTATGTAGTTATTATATGCTCGTATTCTTCCATTGATTATTTATTTCTTAGTGGAAACCTTTAAAAATTTGAGCAAAATTTGTTGTCTCTCATATGCAGAAGAGGGAGAACCAATTTGTATAAAAACAAAAGAAATACATTTTAAGAATGATTTATTGATATTATTCTGTCAAGTTTATTTCTTGATTTGTAGCTTTTTAGCTGTCCCTTACACAGATGAAATGATTTATAATATCATAGCCTATCAAGACAGATAAATGTTCACTTCACTTCGTTTTATACTTTCATTCATAAAAGTGGTGGAAAATATAGTTATTTTTTAAAGAAGTTATAACAAATAATTTTATATGGGTATACAAAAAGTGTACTAGCTGCTAAGGGTATCTACGCTATCTATAATTATAATAGGGTAAATAAATCGATGGATTAAATTAGAGTTATTTCCAAAAAGAGTTGTTCTCGCGTAATTGAAACAAGGACACTTCTCTAGAATACGATTTATTGTTTTTTGTGTGGGTTGTAAGTTATTGCAACTTTAGATGGTGGGTGAGGGGGGGAGGGGATGAGCAAATCATTATGTGTCCAATGCTAGGACGTCAAAATGCAATCCACTTTGGCTTGGGTATGTTGGGTGGATTACATATCAAATGCCAAGTCCTGTAGGGTTTTAATTTGAGCAATGGTGTTGCAAAGTTGTCCCGTTTTCGGTAGTTGTATTTGAAATATCTTTTTGAAGTATGCAGGGTGGCTGAGGCGAAGGCAAAAGAGCTGCTGCGTGCTTTTTTTCCCCCGGAGAAGAAGTTTCTTGGCCATATAGTTGCCACAGATTTCCATAATTAAATTTTTATTTGCGTGCAAATAAGAAATTTGTTACTTGTTGGCGTAGGCGACAAAGTAGTCTTCGCCTCAGCAGTGAAGATGGATTGTTTAATCAGAAACAGTCATACTTCATTCAAATATATTCTGTTTTTCGTCGTATTTTAGAAAATTCAACATCTCTATAAATTGATTGCTTCACCATTTTGTAGAATTGTACGCTGCACTAGTTTGTATTAATGGTGCTTACATAATTTACACACTAACTTTTGTTTAGTTACTAGTTCTTTTCCGGCACTAACTTAGCAAGTATTTACCTTCTCCTAGTCAAAGCTAAATGACGCCAACTTGTGAGACACTCTCCACCAGCTTCTTGAGCCACACTAGCATAGACAAAGTTTTGGGCTTTCAAAGTGCTTTCCTGAAGAAGTAGCGAGCCAAATGCTTCCCCTCTGCCGTGCTCACTACTCTAGCCGAAATGCAATGAAATACGTAACGTTGTGAAAACTTCAAAGTAAATGACAAAAAATATATAAAACATAAAAGTCATAAAAAAGTGCAAATAAAACACCACGTCTAAAAGGCCAGCAAGAGTAACAAAACAAAACGCACGAAAAAATGGAAAAATAAAAACCAACAACAAATCACATGCTGAAACATAAAACGGCGAAAGTTGGCCTTAAAAAAAACACACACACAAAAATTGGACGTGTCCGTGTCGCGCCTGTAGCGTTGGGGCGCCACTGGACGGCTCACATGCCTCAACGCGTTGTTGTTGTTGCCATAGCTCTGTTTTTTTTATTTTTATTATGCGCTTGTGTGTGTGTGTGTGTGGCAATTTGAACGCACCAAAAAAGAAGAAAGGAAAAAATTAAACGAAAATACATTTGAAATTGTCGTGCGTGTGTGTGTGTGCCTTGTTCGTCAGGCAACGTCGCGGTTTTTTCCCTCGTGTCCTTGCAACTTTTGGCTTAACCCCACTTACCCCCTCGTCACTCACTCAATCACAATCTCTCTGTTTGCCTCACAGTTAGCCAACGGCAATTGCACGTAAGTTGCAACAAATTTTTTGAGGCACAAGCACAAGTGGCAAGACATTGTCGAAAGCGTTGCCAGATTGCCGCTCACGAAACGTGTAAATTAAGCCAACAACATCAGCACCACCAACACCAAGAATAGGAACGTCAACAATAGCCGTCGGCTCTTTGCCTAACACACACACACACTAACAAAGCTTCAAGTGTGCGACAGTCCGTCTGTTAGTGGAGCGTGTGAGCGTGAACGTCTGTCGCTAGATGGCGCAACGTGCTGGCATGCACAACTACTGAAAAGTTCGTGCCGCTGGAAATCCTGTTGCTAATTAGGTAAGTCTCATATGCCTTTGTGTTGTATATACATACATACAAGTATGTGCATATGTGAACGTTTGTGTGAGTACGTGTATGCATTAGTGAGTCGCTGTATGTGTGAGTGCGCGACATAGTCGCAGGCATTATTTCATTTTGGATTTTAATTATGGTAATTTGTGGCGTTGAATGCCGACCTGCTCACTTATTATTTGACTCGCTCCCCTACATCTTAGAGATGAATTCGTGACTTATTGGGCATCCCCAGAAATAAAACTCTCGCAGAATAACTATTGTAGAGCTTGCTTGGTAGTAAGTGTTTCTGAATTCTCCCCCTTTTCAAAAAATTTTCTTTTTTTAAAGGAAGAAGAACCAGGATAGGATAGGATCTTTAATATTTGAAAGAAGTAGACCTGTAAATATGATTGTTTTATTTTATTTTTTGCTTTCTTTTTTCTTTTATATCGACTGCATTGTTTGTTGTCCAAATAAATAATAAATAAATTATTAAATAAATACATAAATAAATAAATAAATAAATCGATAAATAAATAAATAAATAAATACATAAATAAATAAATAAATACATAAATAAATAAATAAATGAATAAATAAATAATTGTAAGTCTATTAGGAAAATTTGCTAGTGTGATGTCTATCAGCAAAATAAATATTTACTTTTTCATTTCATTTAAAGAAACAATTTTTTTAACAATAATCTTTGCAATTCAAAGTTTACATGATTTATTTAAAAGTATTTTTTGCACAACTGTTTTTTTATTTTTTAAAACATTACTTTTATCTGAAAAGTCGTTGTCATTGAAGAAATGGTAATTTTTTTTCCAATAGGGGTTTACTTGTGAAACCAATCTCTAATTATTTTCCTCCATCAATTGAGTTTCTATCTTTGAAGAGGATTTAAGTGCAGGGAGTATCGTGAATTGCATGAACTGAATTGCTCACGAATAAAACCATAATTCTGCGGCACATCTTCAGTGCAGTTGCATGTGTTTCATAATTAATGTCATATAGTATATTGCTCATACGCCACGTATTTAAATATTTATAGCCACTCAACATAACAAAATCAACATAACTATCCATATGCACACTCATCTGTGTATGTGCATATGTGCCTGTGTATGTGTGTACCTATTTTATATCGTGTGGCTCCAGTAACTGCAATCTCTGTAGGGCAAGCGCGTGACACAAAATCATAGCATACTTTTTTGGGCCGCCTGCTTTTTCTATAGGCTGAAGTGGGTCTGTTTTTTACATTTTTCTTGACTGTATTTTTTTTTAAAGTGTGTTTTCATAAGTTGTCAACAGCCAATAAATAATGTACGCTCAATCCATTTCTCTCCATTGAAGCGTCAGTTGTGGCTTAAATCGATCGAAACGGTGCAATATAAATTGAATTTCCCAACTAAATTATGCCCTGATACGTCTGACGGGCTGACAGCGAGCTGGCGCAGGTAAGCTAGAATGACGCTGCATTTACCTGGCGCAAGCATTTGGCTTTCAATTCATTTCATTTCAATTCAGCTCATTTCGTTATGCAGCATGATAAATTGTTCGCGATGATTGTTGGCATTTTTCTGCCTTACCTTGCAAAATTGGATTGGGAAATGCGAATTAACGATAACTATCCAGCTTAAACCATAAATGCAAGCGATTTCGCTGGTGGCATTTCGTATCCCAATATATACTTTTTTTAAAATAGTATATTATATATAATAATATATAATAATTCAGCCATAAGCTAGAGTGTGTGAGTTCTTCAATGTCCAAGAAATAAACAAGCTAACTCTTTTAGACAATTTATTAGTGCTTGAATTATAGACTGGTTAAAAAGAACAGCATTTCGATAGAAATCGACTTACATCCTTATTTCATATGTTCTGATGGGTTTTAAGTAGTCCTGGTTTTGTATACATCACAATATATATTTTTTTCACTAGGGCATAACAGCAAAATGGATTTTCAGTGTGCGCAGGCAATTGGAATAGTTAGCTGACTGCTGCCTTGATTGATCCGTACTGCTCCCCGCAGCTTCTGAAACGCCACGAAAAAAAAAAAATGCACAAATATGTCGAATGTTTCATCCAAATATTTTGGATTTCTATTTTGTGAATTTTAAGTCTGCAATGCAGAGTTTCAAATATTTCATGAATGCACCACACGACTTATGCTTAATATTGTTGAGCTCCCACAACACATTGTGTGAGGCTTAAGCAGATACCAGCTGTAGCTTGCATTTCGAAATATAGTACGAGTATGTCGACCTACATACCATAACCATGAAACTGAAATGGTGTGCATTAAATTCCGAGTATGCATAAAATGGACAGCAGAAGACAATGCAACAACAAGGGTAATGGCCAGCATTCAGCAGTTAGAAAGCAGCTCAGGTAGCAGACACCGAATCAGATGAGAACACAGACCGATGGTGGGACTGCTGAACAGGTCAGATAAATGAGTGAGGTCGTAGAAGCCATCCAAACTGTCTTTGGCCTTTAACATTTGCCTCTGGCCAGCTGCAGCAGCTTATGCTCTGCCTTGCCTTTTTGTTCGCTTTGTTGTCATAAATAGACAATTCCGGAGCCCTGTGGATGTGTCTGCATTTATATAAATTTCATGCAAGCCAGAAATAGAAAAAACTATCCTGTTGCTGTTCCTGTTACTGCCGCAGCAAGAAGCTGTTGAAACCCACAAAAGAACAGTCCAAACATGCCACAACAGCTGGTGCACAGTGGTTTGTTATAAACATTCATCTCAAATTTCAAAGAAACTTTGACTTTTAACTAGAAAATATTCACAGATTGTTCTACTAAGGCATGTCAGACAAATTGTAATTACTTGTAATCCTATAAAAAAAGAAGGCTTAACCATTGACCGACATAAAAAAGATTCATTCATTCAGATTTAAGTTATTGAATTATATCTTAAGCAATAAACATTTCTTCAGAAAATTTTCATATTACTTGGTTGGTTTATGAAAATTCAAAAAATAACCATTTAAATTATGACTTTACATTTTTACCAAACCAGAATTTAATGACAGTCTTTTGTGATAGCAAGCTACTTATAAAGATCCAAACATTTTAATATTTTTGCATAAGAATATGAGTATTGTGTAATTTAAGGCGTTGCTTTCACTATTTTTGAATCTATGTTAGAAAGATGTAAATTGTATTTATACAATTTTAATAACATTTGAAGACAGGTACAAATTATTGCCTTCAAGGACTAAGCTGCAAAACCTGAAGTCGAATATAGAATTTTAAAGCAAAAATAACCGTATTGCAATGCCAACAAAAACGAACTCTGCCATCGAATCGCAGTTGACTCCCACAGAAGAACCCATTCTCATTATTTTTCTTTGTTCTAAAATAATGACAGAGCTGTCGAGTTTTCTTCTTCCACATTTAAATAGAAGTTCTTTTTCGACTGATTTAATTAATAGACAAACGGGCAATCAAATATATAAAAACGGTTCTTGAATTACAATTAGAGGGATATAGAACTTGCATACATAACTAAGTACATGGATCTAGAATTACAAATGGGTCTGTTGGTGAGAGTAGTTAGTTGATGGCTGACTGTGGCAAGAGTGCCTTGTTCTGTAAATGAAGTGCCTCGAGTATTCAGACCCAAGTCTTGTACGGATAGCTCTAACAAAGGTAACTGATGATCCAGAGAGAGCACTATTTGTGCAGACATTATGTGTTTTAATTAAAAGTCAAGATGTACGAAAGTGATTTTTTGTGAAATTGTTTCAAAATAAAAAGCCCACCTTAATTTGTTTGATTCATGACAAACTTTATAATGAATCAATATTGCATATTTAATAAACCCAACCAAATAGAAATAAAAATTAGCTGCACAAATATGTACATCGAGTATGTAATTTGTGTTCCGATTTCTGCATTTGGCACCATTTAGAAAATGGCGAGCCACTGTATGATGGGCCCTACACATAGTTGTGTTTGCCTTTTTTCTACGATATTGCGTCTGTATGTGTTGGTCTTTATGCTTGGCCAGCAGGAAAACTGCACTTGCGACCCGACCAGACGCTGCAGGCAACTGGACTGAGACTCTTGGTTGCCGGCTGTGCCGATTGCTCGCCCGCCCTACAACTCTTTCTTCCTCGGTACTGTGAATAGCGTTTTTGTGCTCACTCAATTTAGCCATTTCTTCTTGCCAATTTCTGCTTTCTTTGGCGCGCATCTCTATTTTCTGCATTGATGGTGGTCCGCTGCTGTGCGCCTCTCGGTGGGATTCACGATGGCATGTTATTTTTTCTGTTTTGGTGAAAAATTTAATCTATTTTGAAAGTTTTCTATTACCGCTTAGGGAGCAGTATGTGGTTACATGAATGCATGTGGCAGGCTGCGTTTCTGTATCTGCGATGTGTGCTAGGGTTTGGACTTCTCCCAACGGCTGTCGACACATGTGACAGTTACAAATGAAGTCTTGCTAAGTCGCATTGGGCAGATGCACTAACACCGACAACTTACAATTGGCTAAGAAAACAGGACGCTAATTTTGGGAGGTGAGGAACTGAATACACATGCATTCATAGTATCATACAGTAAGGCAATCAGACTTATTTATATTGCTAAAAAAACACAATTTTATTGGATTATAGCAATGCACATATATATGTTAAAAACTGGTAATTTTTCTCTGCTAAAGATTACAAGATTAATTATATTTAGAAACTTAGTATTCAAATGAAATATTCAGAGCTTGGTAACTTAAAAAATCACACTTTTAAGCAGAATAATGGGTACGCAACAAATTTTGTAAGACAGCTAAACAAAAAAGGAGACATAATTTCGGAAACTTTGTTCGCTAGTTACTCTACTATTAATATTTGTGAAATATTCTACTTGTATTTACTCGATCAAGACTTAGTTAATGTGGTCTTTTGGCACCCTATTTGAGTACTCCAAGTATACATTTGTAAAGGCATGCTGTTGTCCATTAAGCATATTGACCGAATGGTCAGATCA